CCAACATTTAGTTGCTCAATGATTCTAATCAAATCATCATCGAAAAAGGAAAGATTTGTGAAATAAAATTAAAGACACCTTTTCAGTTCAAGGGGTCCTTATACCCACAAGTCTAAAAAAGAGCCTGTCTCTAAATTGCAGAACTACAACAGTCACTGAGTTACAAATGAGCTCCACTCCTAAGTATGTTTTTAAGTTTAATTGGTACATTAAGTCCTAACAGTCAGATCCAGTTCACATCTACATTAGTCAGTCAAATGTTTGTATTTGTACATACAGTATCTTTCTATGGATAAAATACAAAGAAACATTTTCAGATACATTAAAACATCTTTTAATAATAATAATGATGTTTTAATACTCTACTCAACACAAAGTAGCCCGTTTCTTATTACAAACCATTCTATGTACCTAAAAATTCTAATATAACAGGTTTTACGGAGTTGGTTAATAACTACAAGTTATTAACCAACTTACAAATTGAACTTGCAAATTGAACATTCCTAACCCAAGGACTGCCTGTATTCTAATCTTGCATGCAGCACTATTATTTTTTCCAGTTTAAAGAATGTAGTCAATAACAAACCCACTACACCTCATGATTTAATGAAAAAGACTGTTTCCTTGAGTTTAACTTCAAAGGGTCTCAGGGCTACAAATAGGCAAAGAGATTTTCCAGAGTCAATAACTATTAAATTACTTTGTCACCATGGAAGTATTTATTTATGAAGTGCAAAAAAAAAATAAAAAAGAAGAAGAAGAAGAAGAAGAAGAAAGAAAAGAAAGCTTATTTAACCCTCTGAAAAGTCTCCAATCCGAAGAACCATTTTCTTCTTGCAGGCAGAGATAATGTCCCCATTTTCAAATTGTTTATTAAATCAAAAAGCAATCATCTATTTTGTTACTACTTTGAGCTAATGCAAAGGTTCATTATTTATTAAAATTATTGTGATTTGATGAAAGTTTACAGAGCAAATTCATTTTCCCATACAGCACTTCATACACATTTTGTTTCCTGATGTTGACTGCAATTTTCACAATATAACACCTCTCTTTTCACTTCCTCCCTATAGTTACCTCTTCCCTGTGTCCTTCAAAAGTTTATTTTTAAAAGTATTATTTTATATACTGTTCACTTTAAAGTACTTTTAGATTTCCATTATGGTTTATTCTTCACTCATAACTTAGGGGGAGCTCTGGTGGCATAGTGCCTAAGGCGTTTGATTGCTAACTAGAAAGCTAGAGGTTCAAACCCACCAGCCACTCCTCAGAAGGAAGGTTGGGCAATCTACTTCCATAGTGATACCACCTTGACAACAGTGAGTTTAGTTTTTTGGTTTCATGACTTAGGTATTCCTACTGATGTTATGTGCCATTGAGTTGGACCCAACTCATAGCGACCCCTCCTTGGGTTTCTGAGGTGGTATCACTATGGAAGTAGATTGCCCAACCTTCCTTCCGAGGAGTGGTATGTTGACATGTTCCAATTTGTAGATATTTTTAAATCATTTTATTAGTAATCTATAATTTAATTACATTATGGTCAGAGAGGGAGCTCTGGTAGCATAGTGCCTAAGGCACTTGACTGCTAACCAGAAGGCTGGCAGTTCAAACCCACCAGCCACTCCTCAGAAGGAAGATGGGGTAATCTACTTCCGTAGTGATACTGCCTCGGAAACCCAAGGAAGGGTCGCTATGAGTCAGGTCCAACTCGATGGCACATAACAACAACAACAACAGGAACAACATGGTCAGAGAATATGGGCTTGATGATAGTCAAAAAGAAAAAATGACAGCAGACATCTTGGTTTGGTTTTGGGGTTTCCTTACCCATGAAACTAAAAAGTCACTGTAAAGAAGTTTCTGACTAGGATTGATACTGTCAATGGCTTTTCTTTCACCCAAAGTTACTAATGTTTTTTTTCCTGTTTGAAGTGAAGCTTGTTGTTAGTGTTAGGTACTGCTGAGTCAGCTCCAACTCAAAGGGACCCTATGTACAACAGAATGAAACACTGCCCAGTCCTACATCAGTCTTTTAATACCTGAGCCCATCGCTGCAGCCACTGTGTCAATGTACCTCACTGAGGGTCTTCCCCTTCTTCTCTTACCTTCCACTTTACCAAGCATGATATCCTTCTCCAGGGAATGGTCTATGACCAAAGTAGGTCATAGACGAAGTGTGGCCATTCTCACTTCCAAGGCATTCTAGCTGCACTTTTTCCAGGTCAGATCTGCTAGTTTTTCCAGTAGTCCATGGTACTTTCACTCTTCTTTGACAACACCACAACTCAAAAGCATCAACTATTCTCTGGTCTTATTCACTGTGCACTTTTCACATGAATATAAGGCAACTGAAAATACCATGGCACACCTTAGTCTTCAAAGAGACATCTTTGCTCTTCAGCACTTTAAGGAGGTCGTTTGCAACATATTTATCCAGTGCAATACATCATCTGATATCTTGACTGCTGTTTCCATTGGTGTTGATTGTTGAACCAAGTAATAATAAGAAATATTTTAACAACTTCAATCTTTTCTCCATTATTGTGATGCTGCTTATTGGTCCAGTTGTGAAGATTTTCATTTTCTTTATGCTGTAATGTAATCTATACTGCAGACTGAAGTCGTTAATCTTCATCAGCAAGTACATCAAGTCATCCTCACTTTCAGCAAGCAAGGTGTGTCATCTGCACATCACAGGTTGTTAATGAGTCTTCCTCCAATTGTGCATTTTTCTTCATATAGTCCAGCTTCTTAGATTATTTGCTCAGCATGCAGATTGAGTAAGTATGGTGAAATAACACAACCCTGACACACTCCCTTCCTGACTTCAAACTATGCAGTATTCCTTTGTTCTGTTTGAACTACAGTTTCCTGGTCTATGTAGAGGTTCCTCATGAGCACATGTTAAGTGTTCTGGAATTCCCATTCTTCTCAACATCATCTGTAATTTGTTATGATCCACACACCCAAATGCTTCTGCACAGTCAATAAAACACAAGTAAACATCTTTCTGGTATTCTCTGTTTTTAGCCAAGATCCATCTGACATCAGCAATAGTATCTATCGTTCCACATCTTCTTCTGAATCCAGCTTGCACTCTGAAGTCCACTGTCATTATACTGCTAAAACTGTTTAATTACCTTCAGCAAGATTTTAACTTGCATGTGATATTAATGATACTTTGATAATTTCCACATTCTGTGGAATCACCTTTCTTTGGAATGAGTACAAACATGGATCTTTTGCAGTCAAGTGGCCAGGTAGCTATCTTCCAAATTTCTTGGCATAGACAAGTAAGTGCCTCCGGAATGGCATCTGTTTGTTGAAACACCTCAGTGGGTATTCCATCAATTCCTGGATCCTTGTTTTTTGCCAATGCTTTCAGTGCAGCTTGGACTTCTTCAGTGAATGCCATTGCTTCTTGATCATATGTCACCTCCTCAAAAAGAGGAACATGAACCAATTCTTTTTAGTACAGTGACTCTGTGTACTCCTTCCATCTTCTTTTGATGTTTCCTGCATCACTGAGTATCTTGCTCATAGAATATTTCAATATTGCAATATAAGGCTTGAATTTCCTCTTCACTTCTCTCAGCTTGTAAAATGCTGAACATGCCCTCCCCTTTTGATTTTCTAACTCCAGGGTCTTTGCACATTTCATTATAATAAATGCCTTTATCTTCTTGAGCTGCTCTTTGAAATCTTCTGTTCAGTTCTTTTATCATCATTTCCTCCATTTACTTTAGCTATTCTCTGTTCAAGAGCAAGTTTCATAATCTCCTCTGACATCCACTTTGGTCTTCTCTTCCTTTCCTGTTTTGCAGCTTCAACTTGAACTTGCATATGAACAACTGATGTCCAGTTCCACAGTCAGCTCCAGCCTTGTTCTGACTGATAATATTAAGCTTCTCCAGAGCCTCTTTCCACAGTTGTAGTCAACCTGATTTCTGTGCATTCCATCTGGTAAGGTCCATGTGTATAGCCACCATTTATTTTGTTGAAAACAAAAAAAAGGTATTTGCAATGAATAAGTCATTGGTCTTGCAAAATTCTATCATAAGATCTCCAGCACCATTTCTATTACTAAGGCCATATTTCCTAACTAATGATGCTTTGTGTCCAAATTTTACATTCCAATGACCAGTAATTATCAAAACATCTTGATTGCATGGATGGTCAATTTCAGATGGCAAAACCTGGTTAAAATCTGATTTTTCACCTTTCACTTTGGTGGTTGTTGCATAAATTTGAATAATGTCATATTAACTGTTCTTTCTGACAGTATTGTACTTTAGGATAAATCTTGAAATGTTCTTTTTGATGACAATAAATTCCTCTTCAATTTTCCTAGTACATATTTCATACATCCCATATTCAGATTAGTAAGGAATGTTTGTAACTGTTTCTTCCCATTTTCAGTCATGTCCCAGCAGCAAATGAAGGTTCTGAAAGTTTTACTCCATCTATGTCATTAAGGTTGACTCTACTTTGAGGAGGCAGCTCCTTCCCAGTTGTATTTGAGTGCCTTCCAACCTGAGGAGCTTATCTTCTGACACTACATAAGAAAATGTTTCACTGTTCTTCATCACTTTTTCCAGTAATATATCAAACAGTCTTTCACTGCTATTCATAAGGTTTTCACTGGCCAATTTTTTCAGAAGTGGATTGTCTTGTCCTTCTTCCAATCTGTATTAGTGTGGAAACTCCACTGAAACCTGTCTACCATGGGTGACCCTACTGGTATTTGAAAAACTGGTGTATAGCCTCCAGCCTCACAGCCTCAAGCAAGCCACCACAGTACAACAAACTAACAGACAAGCATTGAGAATCATATCTACCTACACCCAATAAATATACTGTTACATTAATTTTTGGTGTTTCTCTAAGAATAAATGCTTATGGTTGCTGATACATGTAAGTTCCAGAAAAATGTGCATTTTCTAATTGCTGGGTATAGGGTTCTATATTATTTTATTTTTTAACAAAACTGTCTAAACTTTCTATTTCTTAATTTATATTTTGCTTACCTACCATACATACTACTAGAAGGCTGGTGATTCAAGTGGCTCATCAGCCACTCCTCAGAAAGAAGATTAGGCAATCTACTTCCACGGCTGCCTTGGAAACCCAAGGAGGGTTGCTATGAGTCAGATTCAACTCTACAGCAGTGAATTTGGTGGGTTTGTTGTTGTTGTTCTTGTTATTGTTTTACCATACTACACCAGACGTCACCAATATTTTTCTTTTAAAACTCTCACAGCAAGAGAAAGATGACAACTCATCAAAAACTACTGGCACTTCCTTTTAACAAAATAAATTGAGATTTCTAACAGGGGACGAAAACGTTGGTCTGGCAGTTGTCTGCTGGTTTCCAGCAACTGAGGTGCCTTTAACATGTAAAATGGCCCAGCAACATTTAAATGCAATTGTAGTGGGAGCGCCAAAGACCATACCTGGCAAAAATCTTCAGGAAAGGTGAGGTATGATGAAATCAAGTACGTGTCTTCATTGGTTCAATTAATCATGCATATGTAATGAGACACCAATCATGGCTATGCACTGATACCCCAAATGACTATGATAAAGGACCCTGGACCTTGGAGCTTTGGGATTGATGTGTATGTGGGAGGGATTGCGCATAAGCAGCTCTGGATGGAGACTCCTCTTGGCCCTTGCCTTTTTTATGTTTGTACCCTTTCCCTAAATTAAAGAAAGCACTTTTCCAGCAATCGGTGAGTCACTACAAACTACCATACCTAAAGGAGTAGTGAAGTTACTTTTTCTGATGTGGGGGGATAAGGCAGGAACCATGTGGACTAGCTTGTAGCCAGCACCTGGTAATGTAGTCCCAGGTGAGAGAAATGGCTAAGTGGAGCAGTTGGGATCTGAACTGACCAGGGACTGGAAGCTGAGATTCCCTGGAATGCTTTGATATCACAAATTGTTGCCAGCAGAAGTGAGATCCAATTCCTGACTAAGGAAAAGCATGAAGTTTGGGAGGAAACAGGATAAATGGATGAGAGATTCTGGATGGTTACTTTGGTCAATGCTATCTGTAAATGAAAGTAAGCTGTAAGTATAAATGGCTTTCACTATTGCCAACAATGTTTATCTCATGTGTACAACTCAATCAGATCAGATGGATGAACATCATGAATTACTGCTAGTGCTGTCTTAAATTAGTCTTGTGGCTGCTTGAATTCCAGAAACTGCCTCTGAGGCAACTTGTGTGTGCAAAGCTATCTATGTGCAAAACAAATAATAAGGACAATGTGAAAATTTGGCACCAGTATTTAATAGTTTCAAGATAATTCTAAACTTGAGTATTTTAACCTAATTCCTCTCTTCTCAATCAACCAACTTCTTCATCACTTGACTCCTAGTTAACTGAGACACATGAGGCATCTTTGGGCTATGAGAATTTTTGGAAAAGTATAAACAACTCCAAATTCTATTTCAAAATATCCCTCTTTCCTTAATGTTTTTCATATTCTTATTTTCAAATGTTTCTATGTAAGTCTGAGGACTGGTGGCAAATTAGGCATTAGGCATATCAGTCCCGTACGGAAATTGCTTTAAAATACCAGCTAGATCCAAATCTGGGGGAAAAAAAAAAGATGTGGGACTCTGCATTTTAAGACTGCTTTTCTGTTCCCTTCTATCTATCTAGCTTTCTACAATTCATTCTTTTAAAAGTCCTCTCTGACTCCGCCACCAGCACACTGTCATACCTCATAAAACATGTATCACAACATTTGAGTACATATATTCATCACTGTAGACTCAGTGCAGAGCAGTGCACAACATGCAATTGATTTCAAATAACTGTTTTTTCAACCAAACCAACAACTGTAAAGTAACTACTATCTTACATAGGCTCTTCCTCTAGTTGAAAGATGATAATCAATCACAAAAGGCATTTATCAGCATCATCCCAGGGCTTTAAAAAAAATACACATAACTAGACTTCGTTTATAATACCTTAACCCAAGGAGGGGTCACTATGAGTCAGGTCTGACTAGACGGAACACAGCAACAACAACAAAGGAAAGTGGCTCCTGAGCTGATACTTGGAGGAAGACTTTGAGTGACAGAGCCACAGACAAAAGAAGTAGTATTTGAGTATTCCAGGAAAAGGGAAGGACCTATTTGAAGATATTGACGTTGGGAAATAAAAACATGTTACACTGAGAGAATTCCATAATTACAAGTGATTCCATTTACTGAAATGACTAATATACAGGAAGAAGGTGGCGGACTAGGCAGAAAGACTGCACAGACCCTCTTCAACAAAAAAAAAGGGGAAACCAATTAACACAGACACAGAAGATAATCCTGGACACCTGAGCCTTGAAGGGAAGGATATAGAAGTGAACTAAATCCCAACTAGCAGAATAATTTGCATGAAAACCCCAAAAAAGGAGACAGACGGACCTGCAGTCTGGCAGCGATCCTGAACGATCCTGAGGGCACTGCACAGACAGCTTTGAGAGTGCCGAGTGTGACAGGACCTAAGAATTAAACTAAAAATCAGCCCTGCTAGCGAGGGACTGCACGGAGGGCTGCTCTGGTGACTGGGGAATAAACGGAGAGGGTACAGAGAAACATGGATAAGCTGTGGACTTTTGCCTGTCCAGAGGACGCTGCCATTTTGAATGTTCACAAGCGGCTTGACCATTTTCGATATTTAAAGAGACAGCACTCTTGCAGATTCCAGGGGCTTAAGAACAGGTTCTGCTTGCCAGTAACCCGAAGGACATTCCAGACCTCCAAGATTGAAAAGGTGCAACATTTCTCTTGTTACTCTTATACCCTATACCCGCTTGGTGAATGGAGGTGTGGCCATCTGCCACTCCCACCTAATTTCTAGGTCCACAGGAACTCCATCACAGTCTGTGTGCTCAGATGGAGCCTGGGTGTCATGCCCTGTCATCCATCAATTTATTTTCTCTTTTTTTATTTTTCTCTCTTTTTTGCTTTCTTTATTCTCATGATTAGTTTGCTTGTATTTGTCTGTTTTAAAACAACTGTTATTATTAATACTTTTGTTTTTTCACTATTACTCTTATTCTTCCCCTCCCAGGTCCTACTTTTCAACTATTTTTCATTTCCCTGTTCCTGGTTGGAATTTTTTTTTTTCTTCTTACTCCTTTTTTTTTACCAACCTTTTTTCTCATGTCTAAACCCATGCCTTGTTTTTCTTTTTGCACCGTTATCCAGCAAAATTATCCCTCAAATATGATGGTGAAATTAGGAGATTTCCACATAAGCAGAAACTAAGGGAATTGGTTAAAAGCAGACAAACCTTACAACAGATGCTAAAGGGAGTCCTTTAACTTAGAACTAAAAATAGCAAATAACAACCAACCATTAATATACAAGATGATATAACCCAAAAACCACAGCTATGGACATATCCAAAGTAAAATGAGCTTACAAGATTGTAAACAGGGAACCAGAGATATCAATTGGCAAGTGAGAACAAACAAAATAAGGGAAAAGACTGTGTAGTTACAGAACTTCTAAATGGTGAGGAAGTTAAGAGAGATGCAAGGTAGAAACTCAAGGAGAAAATTATAAATCATAGGGTAACCTCAAAGAAAAATGATAAACCTTCACATCACAATAAAAAAGAAGACAAGCACAAATATTCAGCATATACTAAAACAACAGCAACAAACGAAATAATAACACGATTCATAAACATAATGAGCTCAACACAGAAAATAGTATGGAACAAAGAAACCAGGGAAACCACAAAGAAACACATACAAAAATGACAGCAAAAAATTCAAATATATCAATAATTATACTGAATGTTAGTGGATTACATGCACCACTCAAGAGATGGAGAGTTGCAGACAGGATAAGAAAACAAAACCCATCAATATGCTGCCTACGAGAGACACACGTTAGAGATAAAGACAAAAACTGACTAAAAATCAAAGGTTGGAAAAAGATATATCAAGCACATGGCAACTGTAAGAGAGCATGAGTAGCAATATTCATTTCTGAAAAAACTGACTTTTAAGACAAAAACCACCATAAGAGACAAGGAAGGACATTATATAATGATTAAAGGATCAATGGAACATTAAGATATAACCATAATAAATATCTATGGACCCAGTGAAAGAGCCCCAAAACACATAAATCAGACTCTAAAAGAGCTGAAAAGCCAAACAGATGACTCTACAGTTATAGTGGGAGATTATAATACACCACTTTCTTTGAAAGATAGAACAACTGCAAAGAAACTCAACAAAGATACAGAAGAGCTAAACAATACACTCCATCAACTTGGCCTTATAGACATCCACAGAGCACTTCACCCAACAGCAGGACAATATATATTCTTCTCCAGTGCACATGGAACATTTTCCATGATAGACCATATATTAGGCCATAAAACAAGCCTTCATAAATTTAAAAACATTGAAATACTGCAAAGCATCTTCTCAGATCATAATGCTATCAAAATAGAAATCAACAATAGGAAAATCAACAGGAAAACAGTAAACACATGGAAACTGAACAACACCCTCCTTGAGAAAGACTAAGAGAAGAAATCAAAATTGAAACTCAAAAATTCCTTGAATCAGGCATTTATGCAAAACCAACAGCCAACATTATTCTACATTATTATTGTAAAAGTTAAGGAAAGGTTTATCTATAGAAGGAAATTTTCTTTGTTGGTTACCAGGAGTGGGAGAGGAGGGGAGGGAAAGCTGTTAGATAGATAGAGATAAGTATTGATTTGGGTGAAGAGAAGGGCAATGTACCAAATGTGAGTGACCAATATGGTGGCACTGAGGAAGAGAAAGACAGAAAGAGGTATGTAGGAGGTACAGACAACAAATATGAACCCTTTTGCACATACAGTACTGCATTCTCAGTGAAGGAAAACACAGATATATGGGTGGATAGATGGGTGGACAGGCTGAACTATTAGGTATGTCTATGAAATGGGGAGTGTATCCAAGAACAACTATAGGGTTGGCAGACAATGGTCCTTTAAGTTT